CTTTGTTGTATTTTAATTTTGTGTTTGTAAATTATGTACATTTAATTAAGTTATTGTTAATTATTTATTGGTTTAATGTAAGTGGCTATTGTTCCTCCGGAACAATACCAAGGAAGGGGCAGTGCTACAACAGCGGAAGCCACGTGACGCTGCTGGCGTTTCTCGAATGATCGGGGAAGTCCGAGTGTGATCAAAATGCCCCCCTTTTTTAGTATGTAAGCCTGGCAGGGAAAGCCAGCGGTATATATATATGAAGAGAGAGCAGAAGTTATTTTGGAGTTCCGTGTAATTTATGATTCTGTTAGTTTCGAGCTAGTGAGCCGTAACGTGTGTATCTTGCACTCGTCGAGAGTGAAGTTATCGAAATTGTGAATCGCTGTGATTTATAGCTTGTATTATTAAAGTTGTTAAGTTAAAAGTGACGAGAAAAGTACTGATTGTGGAACCTTCTGTGTACTAAAAGTTTGTATCGAGGTAGAATAAACTGGTTTAATAAAGAAAGGAGTTGTATCACTGAAGATCATCGGAAAGAATTTCTACCGGAAACAAACAATAAGATACGCAACAATATATATATATATATTATCGCAAAGCTGCACAGTGGATTACCTTCGCGGTGGGCATCAGAACCCGAATTTTGCCGTTATAAGCTCTAAAGTTTACCGCTGAATCACCGGATGACATAGATATCTATAATAATACTTCATATTAATTAACAGGTTTCTGAGACGGACGCAAACGATTTAAATAAAATATATAAATATTATCTACTTATTTATTATTTTTTCTTCGAGTAGCTCAGTTTGAAACCACCAACGTTCGTATTAAGAGTGCACCCGCCGTTTATGTCAGTCGCAGATTTAGGCCTATTTCAGTCTGTGAAATTTGTAACTTTTTGAAAGTGTTGTAGCCAGTGTGGAGAGAAATTATTCCGAACTTAGCTGAAGCTTAAATTAAATAACGCTAATGATTTAGTAAAGCCGAACTGCGGCTCATTTAACAGTATAACAAGGAAATAATCTTAAACTGTTAAAGCTATGTATTTTTCCATTCTTAGTATTTCTACAACTAAAGGAGATCCGCTCATTACTGAAAAGTGTATCCTTTTTCATACTTTTGTCCCCCTTTATTTCTTTAAATACTACAAATTCGACACAAGTAGAATTACTAAGTTAATCCTCAATGATATACGGAAGTAGTTCAACTATCCAAGGTCTTACAGATTAATGTTCAAGCATCTTAGCGACGTTTTGAAAGTATATTTTAGCGCCCTCTCACGGTTGAGCAGATTAATATATATAATAATAACTAAGTATTTTATTATTTATTACACATTAATTAAAATAGAGTGTTCATTTTACATTTCATACTATATGGAGGCATTACACTTAAGTAATTATTTATTTTCTTTAGAACAATTATTATTAGTTCCACAGTGTCTATGCTAATGTTCTGTATCATAATTTAAATTGAATTGTTTAAACCATGTTCATGTATTTCAATAAAAACTTAGCTTTTTTGTTGTCAAGATCAAAATGATGTGAAGGAAGAGTGTTTAAAAAGCTTTATACACAAGATTGTTACATCTAAGCCAGGATGTATGCCACCTGTTATGGTAAGTGCATTGCATAAAATTTTGTGACTTCACACCAAAACTTAATAACAAATAATATCATTGGTAAATGTAGCTTTCATGCAAACAAAAAATCCAAAAATTCTAGTGTGTCCATGACATCATAACTTCATAGAATTACTGATGTAGTCTTCTTACAAGTTACATTGATTCTGTGGCTGCTTAACCTGCTTTGGGACAATTGGACTAGTTTTATGGTTTTTCAGTTCTTTTGAATGAAGAGTGAAATTAATCCAAGTAATAATGATAATAATAAATAATTGGTGTTAAAATAAATAAATTAAATTGTGTTATTTATACTTACCCTTATTCTGGTTTGTAAATGACTCATTAAGTTAATAAAAACGTTTCACTTCACCAACTTATTGTAGTTCACTCTATAACAGCTGTTATTCATGCAACCTGATAATATAAATGTCTCAACCACTACTGTCTCTATCACATCCCAGCTGGCATGATGAGCTCCTAATATTGAGCAAAAGGCCTTGTGGCACTGGATATAGCAGATATAGAGTGGTTGACATATTTTATACATTCTTCTTTACTTTCACTCATAAGTTCTCAGAATAAATTAACAAAACATTTTTTTTTTGTAAGACTGTAGTACATTTTTGCTAGTTTAGTTTTCATGCAATGCTAACATGTCTGAAACATATTGGTAAAGTGGGTATTTTTCTCTGTATTTGTTTGAGGGCATAAGCTTAGCTAGTTAAACTGTTTTCAGCCAATAAAATACATTCAACTTCTGGGTTTTAGGTTATTAATGTTTCAGGAAACTTTAAAAACTTTAATTGGATGTTAATTAGAAAGATTTCATAATTATATTTGGTATTTATTGGTAGCCTAAGGCATTTTTAAGTTTCATATAACAAATTTGGGTGTCAAAGTTTTCACTTTATAGATTATTTCTAGTAGGTGTGGGGATTTCTGTAACAAATAGAAATTCAGTAATAAAATGCAGTGTTCCACTACAGCTAAGAGTGGAATGTGATTTGTTCTTATTTTGCTTAGGGTGCATCATTGTTTCTTTAAAACCATATTTTTCAACTTGATCAAAATCATCAAACACTGACAAAAGTGTTCCATATTTTACAGCTGTTGACATTTGTGAAACTTTGTAAATTTCTTCCACCTACCACAATAATTTGTTTAATCAAGAAAGTGAAACACTGAAATTACCTCTAATTGCATTTGCAGTAAGTGTTCATACAGTTGTTTTACAGTGAATGTTCATGATGGTGTGTCCTATATGTTTTAGTAGTTGAACAATGGAGTTTCATTTCTTCTATCATTTTGAAATAATTAACCAATGTAAAAGATTAAGAAATATATAATGTTGAATTTATGTTTATTTGTCTGTGTTGATTAAAGTTTTATTTATTTTTTATAGGAGAAGAATGGAGTGTATTGTTATTTTATTCACAGAGACAAACTACTTTATATTGCTCTAACGACAGCTGTTACTTCTACTGTTGTGGCTGTGGAACTTCTTGATAGGTAACTGATTTTACAGGGTAATAGCAATATTTTGGTTAAAAGGTTAGTAATTTAGTAAAAATGCTACCCCTCTAAAGATTACATCATTCAAAGACCAGCAGATTCTTGAAATTCTGACTTGTACCTTTGCTAGGATGTTATGTATGAGATGGAGCCTAAATCTGCATGTTTAGTAAGTATGAATTTTTTCTTTTTATCACATGATTTTCAGACATGTACATCTCAATAATGAATCTGGGTAATAATGACTTCTTGATAATAGTACTTGTAAAATAAGGCACCAGTAATAATGCAAAGTGGGGGAAAAAAATTGCACCATAAAATGTCCCTGTGTCTTCCTGATAGAAAAAAAAAAATAAGCATGCTGCATGTTTATGATTCTTACATAATAAAACTTTCCCCACTTAGTACCATTGCCAATGACAGTATAAACTTAGTTTTTTTGGAATGAAATTGATTATAACAACTATGTTCACTCTGTAAACATGGATAGAGCTCATATGTTAGTAAATGTTGATTGATTTTCTTCTTCTGTAAGTGGTTCTTGAGTATAATTTATGCTGAAATCTTCTTCTTTATAAAGCCTTATAAATGAAACCATGTGAAAAACTGGTTCTTGAAGAAATACTTCTATATGGTCAAATGTCTGACCTTTATTAATTGTAATGGCAAAGGCAGTGAAATTTATGGTGAAGGGCAAATGCATGAAGGTATAACTTTTCATAAAAAATGCTTATACTGACAAAGGGAGTGTTACGAACAGAGAGTGGCTTTTGTATGTATAAGGAAGTTTGGTGTTTTTTTTCTATAAGTTTGTTTTCAGTGGAAGTTGAGTGCACTGCACTATCTGGCTGTTACTGAAATTGTTGGGATAATTAAACAGTTACATTCAACTAACCAGTTATTCTCACATCAGACAGATCTTCCTATTTTCAGCTTGTTTTGCATTTTGTAAAGACATTTTCAAACTACTCTTCATTTAATATGATAGTCATCTTCAGATACAACAATTTAGGATTAAGTTATTTTTCCAATACTATATCTTACTTCCTTTCACAGAAAGCTTTCTCAATTTATACTGCTCTCTATAGGCACAAATTTTTGCTTACTATTTCTGCATACTAACATGTAAATGAATATGCAGCAACTCTCCACCAATAGGAGTGCAACATTACCCCTATCGTAACTAGCACCCTCTCTCATCTTGGATATGTTAACCACTTCTGGATTGGCAGTCTTACTGATTAGATGTGTTTTTGCTTGCAGTTCAATTAACCTACCATATTTCCCTAATTAATGCCCCCCCCCCAGTATTTCTATAAATCTTAAATTGTGTGACAGCATATAATCCAACATATAATCCACTTTTATTTTCGGGATTTTGATTTGAAAAAAAGAAGAAAAACACACTAATAGCATTGAAGTCAAGAAATCACATGTGAAAAATAGAATTTGGAACTGCACAAATACTATAATTAGCTCAGCTCCTTATGTGTTCTCCCGAGTTGTCCGGACCTTTTGCTCAACTGCTACATTCCCGGGGCTTTTATTTCCACCATTATATGGACAACTGACTGCTTCTTGTCTCTTCACAATACAACTCAGCCCTACATACTCAGTTTCTTCTCCAGGAAACTCCGAGGGTGGGTTGGCTTATTAAAGTGGAGAAGTCTTTCCTCACGGCTACACAGTTTTTGATTTATCTCGGAGTGTTTTTCAACTTCCTCCTCAGTCAGACCCAACCTTCTCCATTTCGGTTGATAGCTATGGAACGTCTCATATGCAGCATCTCATTCTCTTCTTCTCCTACTGCACAAGAGGTTCTATCTCTTTTGGAGATGTGGGTTTCTCTCGAGACCCTTATTTTTCTTGGTTGTGCTCATCTGTGTCATCTTCAGCGGGTTTTGATCGATCAGTGGAGCCTTGTTTGGGATCTCTTAGATGCACCTCTTACCCTTACCCCTCACTTACAGAACTACTTCAACTTGTGGTTGTATCAGACCAATATTACTGAAGGTATTCCTATTCCTCTTCCTCTTCCTGGACTGTCACCTTTTTACAGATACTTCTCTTTCTGGTTGGGGAGCATATCTTGACACTCAAGAGATTTTGAGGTGATGGACTCTTTCCGAGTCCCCTCTCCATATCAATATCTTGGAACCTCTTGCTATTCATTGACCTGTACTTCACTTGATGATGGTCCACTATGACAGTTCTATGATAGTATTGTACATCACCAGGCGAGGGGGCACTCGGTTGAGAGACCTTTGTTTTCAAACATTGAATCTTCTGTATTTGGCCCACAGCCATCACATCACTTTGTTGGCATGTCATATTCCTGGTACTCTGAATCTGGTCATGGATCAGTTTTACCATACCTGCAAGATTCTACCAATGGAGTGGTCTTTGGATATTCACGTTTTTGGGGAATTATGTGCTCATTGGGGTGTCTCAGATTTGGATGCTATTGCCACTCATCTCCATACCCAACTTCCCCATTTTTGGTCTCCTGTTCCTCATCTGTTGGCAGAAGTAGTTGATGCTCTCAGTCAGGATTGGACAAGTTGGTACCTCTATGCATATCCTCCTATTCATCATCTTCCACATATCTTAGCCAAACTTTAGACCACTCTGTGGCATGTTCTGCAGGTGGCACTGTATTGACTGGTTCAAATGTGGTTTTGGTGTTGCCTCCCCTTTCTCTTCCATTATCTCTGACACTCCTTCATCAGTCCCACTCTGCTGTGTGTCATCCTTCCATACCAACACTCTGTATTCACACATAGCTTTTGTTGGGTCCCTCACCAGAAGGGCCAGACTTTCGCAGCATGTAGCTTTCTCTTCCATTATCTTTGACACTCCTTCATCAGCCCCACTCTGCTGTGTGTCATCCTTCCATACCAACACTCTGTATTCACACATAGCTTTTGTTGGGTCCCTCACCAGAAGGGCCAGACTTTCGCAGCATGTAGCTTCCTTAGTTTCCCGTCCAGTTAGTCCTTTCTCCATGGCAGTTTACCAGCAGAAGTGGTATACATACCGCTGTTGGTATGTTCAAAGAGGTTATCATCCTTCCCAACCAACTGTTCCTCATCTAACTTACTTTTTCACTTGGCTTTTTCACAGGGGCCTATCAGTTTCCTCTATTGTGTGCTATGATGCAACATTGTCTGCCATTTTTTCAATTTACCAACTTTTCTTCCAGTCATCCATTCTGTCCATGTTATTTTATTCCTTCTCCATTTTCTGTCCTCCCTGACCTGCTTCTCTCCCGCGTGGTTCTCCATGCTCTTACCCATCCTCCATTTGAACATTTGTCTTTGTGTTTATTATATCACTTTTCCTGCTGATGTTGGTGTGTGGTCATTGTCATTCTGCCAGACTAACTGTATAGAGATCTGTAAAATAAATTTATGCAAAAAATAAATTGAAATACATTAATCACAAAATAAAAGCAAAACCAAAATATTCTTTAGTTAACTGTTAAGAACAACTGTTTTTTCATGCTTTCTATTGTGTAATTGTTGTGAGGAGGTTTAACTACTGGCTGTTTAACAAGTCACACAAATGTTGAAAATCTTAAGCAACTTTTTCAGAATAGAGTAATTTTTACAAAAGGATTTTTGATGTAATTAAACTTAACTAATAAAAGTAATACACTATTTTACCATTTTGATTGCCATTTCCTTGTTTAAAGTGATTTTATAATTAATCAGCTGCTGAAGATATACTTAATTATAATAAAAAGTGTAAGAGCTAAATTACTGCAATGATTAATGTATTACTTTACCCAAATTGAACAAACTAATTTTTCTCAAAAGGGCATACCGGTTGTCTAACTGTCACACTAAATCTATGAAACAGAAGAAAACTAACTGAGTAGGAATTCAAGGGATTCAATTTCATGCAGTGGACAGAATGTATTAAACCTATTGTGCAGCTTAGCATGACAACAAGAGCTGACACTTTAGGTATCATAATTCTAGGGGATTGAATTAGGACTTGAAGATAATTAAAACAACATAGAGCTAGACATATAAATGCTATATTAAAGAACTTGTGTAGCTACACCTCATGTTAGATTATAATAGTGTTCACTGTTATTTTTAGATTACAAATAAAACTATCACTCAGTGTATTTGTCATTTTAGAGCACTATTTTGAAACATTTTGAGCAACTTTTCATTTTTTTTTAGAAAATCCAGGAGGTCTATAATCAAGAAAAATATTATGTTAAAGCTACACTGTTGATTAATACAAACAATGTGAACATGAATGAGAAATATCACTGCAGACAGTTATGTAAATATGATCACTAGGCCACATCCTCACATTCATGAGTTATGTACAAAAAGAACAACATGATATCATGATGCACAATCCTGCCAGCAGAAATATTATTAGATTACAAGTGATGAGTGAGTTCAGTTGGTATTTATCTGAAGCTGAATAAGTTTGTTTGAGTATGGCAAAGCTACTAAGGTTATCTGCCTCTTTCTTTTTTTGACCAGCTGGCAGCACCCACAGTCAACTCTTAGGCTACCCTTTACCGATGAATAGGATATTGACCATTACATTATAATGCTCTTGGCAGGAGTGGCTTATTGGCTCAAGTAGTTGCCTTGTAAATTGATGGTTGTTGATTTGATACCTTGTGCAATCAAATGTATACCTTTTCAGCCATAGAGGTATTTTAATGCTAAAGTCAGTCTTACTATTCATTGGTATATTAGTAGCTCAAGAGTTGGTAGTGAGTGCTACTGACCAGCTGCCATACCTCTGTTCAGCAGTTTAAAATTAGATACAGTGGTAGGTAGCCTTAGTGTCTTTGCCATAACTAAAGAACAAAGAAATAGATATAGAAATCCCCATGGCCTAAATGTTAAACATGGTTGGTGGGAAGAGAAATTGAACATGCAACCCTTAATTCACAAGCCAACCACCCTAATCACTGGGCCATGACAACCCAAAACTGAACAAACTTAAATTAATAAAAAAATAATGTATAATGGCAATATTTCAATTATATGGATAATTGGAAAATCAAAAACAGTAATAATTGGAAACACTAATTTTAATTAGTTTATTATTTTTGCAAATTGTGACACTAATTGATTAAGCTGAACAAACTTTTTTACTTGAAGTAATCAAAAATAATAATGATGAGAAATCATAATTGAAATATTGTTATAATTGGAAACTTTTAGTTTGATTAGTTTATTATTTTTGCAGCATTAATCAATCTAATTGTAGTTTCATTTAATAGATTATTTTATGTGACACTAATCATGTTAATCCATGCACTTTTTACTTTGGAATTAATACAAGAGTATGGATATAAATCTTAAAAATTTGGAAGCTTTTAGAAATACTCACTGAAAGAAATTGAAATAATTTCTCTTATCAAAAAAGGATGATGTAGAAACCAGTTGTTTAAAAAAGTGCATTTTATCTTTTGTATTTAGGAATTAAAAAGTTTTGCTATATGAAGGTATTTTTTTATGAATAACTATTTAAAATTTAAAAACAAAATGCAGATTGAAAGAATTACTTTTCAGACTTGAAAAGCATCAGTTTGACTTTTGTTAAAAATGTATGTATAGTTATATTCAATATGCCTTGCTTAAAAATTATAACATCCATTTATTTCTCTTAAGCTGTTTTGTTTATATTGTGGTCCATTAACATTACTGTAATAAAACTTTAACATTGATGTGCCTTGCAAACTTTTCCACACTATCGCATATAAAATAGGACTTAATATATATATATATATATATATATATAACTTTTCTAATTGCAAATTAGGGTTAGGAATTTTTCTGGCTTTTTCACAGAAAATCTGCTAATTTATTTTTAAAATTATGGATTAAAATAAATGTATAACAGTGCTGCTTATTCAACATTTTCTAGATTTTTTTTCTTCTATTAACTAAAGTACTAACAAATTGTGTATTTAAGAAAAATTTTGTTTTAGTAAAAATACTCTGTTTCAAGTATTCTCTCTCTTCAGGTTTCATCATATTCTAAAGGATTTTTGTGGAGGTGTTTCTGAACATGTAGTTAAGAAGAATCTTGTTCTAGTGCATGAAATCATGACTGGGATGCTGGTAAAGTTTGTGACTACATAACAGTTTTTGGGCAAAACATTGTTCATAAGTTGAGACCGTTAATATAGAACTGATGGCATATGAAAAGCCTTCAACTTATTTATATCCTTATAAAACAGAAGATGCTATGAAGTGTATTTTGTCAAACTAGAATATACTTGAAAGAAAAACAAGTTTAAGTTTTGTGCTCTATAGTTATTTGATTAAAAGTTTAAAATCATTCAAATATCAAAATGTTTTGTTAATGTTAAATTGTTTTAAAAAATTAATGTTATATTTTAGGGTATTTTTTTAACTTTTATTTTTCTCAAGAAAAGTAATTTAAAACTTTTAAACCAGTGTTTGAGACAATTTTAAGAAAGGAAAAAATATTTTGTGTTTGTTAGTAGATAAAAATATTGTTACATATCTGCTTGTTTGTTAATTTCCGGTAGAAATTCTTTCTGAGGAACCTCAGCGATACAAGTCCTTTTTTGATTAAACCAGTTTATTCTTTCTCGATACAAACTTTTAGTACACAGTAGTTCCACAGTCAATACATCTCTCATCACTTTTAACAACTTTTATAATACACGCTATAAATCACAGTGATTCACACACTTTACTTACCGTCACTACTGTTCGCTTCTTCAATTATCTATATATATATCTATCTATTGCTGGCCTCTCTGCCAGGCTTATATACTAAAGAAGGGGGTGTCTTGAATGCAGTAGGAAATTCATGATCATTCGAGAAACTCCTTGCACACGCCACCAGTGCCAATGCGCCAGCAGCATCACGTTACTTCTGCAGGGTTTTATCCAGGGTTGTTTTATTATTGTGTTTAGATCAAAATATTCCAGTTTGATAAATAGCTTGAGTGGATTATCCACAGTTAACAGAAAATTATTCCAAAACATTATTAAGTTGAGATTTTTGTTCAAGATAATATTAATGGAATGGTAAAGGCAAATCAAGTGTACTATAGCACATTTCAAGAGTTTTTATCATAGTTCCATCCAGTTTAGAATATTTTAGCCAATTCCAAAAAATTCTGTATACAATCTTGATATATATATATATATATATTTCTAAATTAGTGACTGATGTAGAAGAATAATTTTACGTATTTTCCAGAATGGTGGCTACATCCAGGCAACAGACACTGAGAAACTTAAAGCTATGATTTATAGTGAAGTCCAGTTAAAGAAGAATGCAGATGTAGGGCTGCATTATAGAGTAAGCATAGTTAGTCAAAATTGTTGTTTCAAGTAAATAATGAAAGCAAATTCTCTCTGAAAGAATAAAGAGCATCATGTACAGTTTATGATTAAACATTATGTTGCAATCTATTATTAATATGCTGAGGTGGAGTCTCATAGAAATGCATTTTATAAAAAAACTAATTAAAGTATTCCTACTTTTTGAACTTGTAACCTTCTGGACTTCTTATTTAAGCATATGTAATACTTTATTCTTCAGGTTATTTTTTGTGCCTAGATTTTGTTGCATGTAGACATGAATAATCATTTCTAACATAGATATTTTAATGCATTTAAATGTATTAGTTAAAACTTTTACATTAGGAAGGAACTCTCAAAAAATGGGGTCTTGATCAAAAAATATTTATAGTTTGAAGACTCATTTGGAAGATGCTGCCTAGGTTGATGATAATATTTTTGCTATTTTATGCTATATATAAACAACTAAAATAATTTTTTACTTTTTTTTACCTCTGCCTACTTCAGAATAATGCCCATAGAAAACGTTAAGGACCAATCTACTAGAGACTCTGTTGTAGATTAATTGTCCAAGACTTTCTCTACAAATATCAGCCTGAACTATATAGTTGCTGTCCATTTTACCTTTGTTTGTTCATTAACTTGTTTAATTTTAGAACATGTCCATTATGATGTCATTACAGGTTCAATTACTATATTTAATAAGTTTCACAGAAATTGAATTCAAACTATTGTGTATTTTATTTTTATAAGATCCAACAAAATCTGTGAAAAAGTGCTCTTATTATGAGCTTGTATGTATGTAACAGTAATATAAAGAAAATTAACTAATTAAATGTTATGTAAATTGTAATTGTTGATGTGTTTTCAGTTGTTTGAAAATTAAATGATTGGAAAATTTTAACTTCATTTTAATTTCTTGCTACAGGTTTGATTTAAGAAACAGTTCTGAGTAAATAGTTAATTTCCTTTATATGTAGGGCTGTCGGCAGAATGAGATCTTCCTTGATGTTGTGGAGAGATTAGTAGTTCTTTTTGATCCAAAGGTAATGTACTTAATTAGGATAACAGGTGTAACCTTATATCACATTAAGACTATCTGAGATCATCCTAGATATTATGGAAAGATTAGTAATCTTCTTTGATTAAAAAGTAATGTACTTCGTTAGGGTAACAGGTGTAATATTATATCGTACTAAGACTGTTTGAGATCATCCTAGATATTATGGAGAGATTAGTAGTTCTTTTTGATTAACAGGTAACATCATTAGGCTAACAGTTTTGATATTATACCACAGTAATACTAATTGAGATCATTCTATGTGTTGTGGAAAGAGTTGTAGTCTTTTGTGATTAAGAGATTATCTAATTTTATTGAGTAATGTGTAATATTACATCAGCATAAGTCTGATAACAATTTGTGTTGCATTTTTTAGTGGTACATTATGCATTTCCTATGAGGATTGTAAAATAAGATTCAACTACCCATTATCTGTCGTATGCTACATTCAGTGAGGTCTTTTGCTAATTATCAGAGGTTATCAGGCTAGTTGGTACTTGGTTATAACACATGGAGTTTTTAAGTTGGTTGATGAGGAGCCCACTTTTTAGAAAATAAAGTTTGAAGATGACTTGAATGGGTAGTAAAAGAAACTTTATTACAAATGTACAGTGTTTTGACAAGCTGATGATGACAAAAGCTTGTCAAAATGTTGAACACTTGTAATAAACTTTCTTTTACCACCCATTCAAACTGTCTCCAAATTTTACATGGAATCTTTGTTTTGGTGTTACTTATCACTCATTTATGAAACGTTGATTATCTAATGGTGTATAATACCTCATGTATAGCTGATCTCATCTTTCTTTTACTGTCTCACTACAGGTTTCCAAAAGGAAGAGTGCATAACATCATTTTCAGTACAGAATGTTTGTTGTATGTTACTTCTAAATGTCTTTCAGGCTATACTAGTTTTCTGTTGAATGAACAGAGTTTGTGTACTTACATCATAGTTTGTAACTTATTTTTATTACTTTGATAAATAAACTATTCAGCAAATCTGTTTTACATATTTTATAGATTTTGAAGAAATATGAAACTCTGTACCTTATGTTATCTTTTCATGTACCAAATTGTTTTACATACATTTTGTGACAGAGGACATTTTGTAGTTCTGTAATTTTTTTTTTATAACTTCTACAGCTACTCATATTGTGTGTTCTTTTTATTATTTTCCAGGGAAATCTAAAAAGGTTCCAGTTAAATGGGGCTCTACAGATGAAAACGTTCTTGCCATCACAAGCTAGTGTGAAGATTGGACTTAATGAAGACCTGATCGTGACTAAGGAACTTAATAAAGCAGCAGGTTAGTACATGGCTCCTAGTATAAACAATTGATTGTAGTTTATATGTTTATGATGTAGTTGAAAAATCAAAAAGTTCTAATTTTGTGGTGATCCATAGATTATTAGATAATTAATACTTTCCTCTGTGTTGAAAAAATTATAAAATAATTGTAACACCATTCTTAAGTGTTTTGTCTCTTTTAATGTCAAAAAATATTTATTATCAAAATAAATACTCACTCATTATTACTTGATATTGTGCTTGTAATTGATGAATTTCAGTGTATAATAATCATTTTTAGATTGTTGTACATTTAGTAATTTGATTTTAAATATATAATGTAGATTGTATATAATTTAACTTTTTAACACCTTGTTGCCACCGGATAAAATTTGTGCTCTGCACTTTGGGGTTGTGATGCATTATAAGAGTGATGGTCAAATCCCATAACATGATCAGAGTAGCCCACGATTTGGTGGTGAGTGGTGTTTTCTACACCTGCTTTTCCTGTAGTTTATCACTTCAAACTGAGGGACTGCTAATGGAGATAACCCTTGAGTAGCTTTATACAAAGTTCAATAAAGAATAACAACTTTCTAACATGAACATTTACAAGTAACAAAGATATCATTGTATCAAAATGTCAAATTTATCCTTGTCTTAATAATATAAACAAAGATAAATAACAAATTTAAATATTCAGGTAAGAAAAGACATTATTAAAACCCTTAGGTGGCTAAATATTGATACTTTTTAAAAATTTATGACCAAGTTTGTAAATTTTGGTGTATATATATATTGTTATGACAGCGGAATTCACGTGGCACTGGTAGCTTGCGTGAAGTTTCTAGAATTATTGGGGAAGACCAAGTTTGTTCGAGACGCCCTCTTCTTTAGTATATAAGCCTGGCAGCGAAAGCCAGTGGGGTAATATAAAGTGTGTGTTTTGTACTCATAGAGAGCGAAGTTATCGAGATTGTGAATCACTGTGATTTATAGCGTGTATTATAAAAGTTGTTAAGTTTAAACTGACGAAAAACGTACTGATTGTGGAAGTACTAAAAGTTTGTATCGAGAAAGAATAAACTGGTTTAATCAAGAAAGGACTTGTATCGCTGAAGTTCCTCGGAAAGAATTTATACCAGGAATTAGCAAACAAGCAGATATGTAACATTTATATATATATTTCTTTTCAAAATTGAGATTAGTTTAAAAATAAACCTAGATTTATTTCAGTAATTAGCAACTTACATAACAAATATTTTTTTTAAAGCTTACAATACAGGAGTCTGTTTGGATTCTTGCACATTTCATGAAAACGTGAAAAAAGAGGATTTTTATACCAACCACAGTTTACTTGTTCAACCTCCACAAGGAGAGGTATTTATTCTTTTTACTTTAGACTTGAACCTAATAGCTTTACTATATTACTTGTACTTTCTGCTGTTCTACATCTTATTTCTTTTCTTTATTCACTTGATTTCTTCTGTTTATGCACTTTATATCTTCTCAAATGTCATGCCCTCAGTGGCTCAGCTGTTAATCTCAAGACTTATAATGCTAAAAACGTGGTTTTGATATCTGTGGTGGGCAATTATTTTTTTACATGTATTTTTAGTGAAGTTATTGCTTAGCAGTTGCAGACTTGTAAAAGTGTAAAAGCCATGTTAACTACGTTCTTCAAGATAATTGTTAAAACTTCCTAATGGTTTAGAATTTTGGTGCCAAAATAATATTACTTACTGGATTGTTTTATTTGTTTACATTTGAATTTAAAAAACTTGCAATATGTATGTTTTGTAGAAAGATGAATAATGCTGTTTTAGTGATAAGAGAAGTACGGGTGTTAAAGTTATGTGTTGGTTTCAGTTTATTTTTCTTAAATTTGATTATAATAACGTTAGTGTTACAGATGTCATGTATGGCTAATACCTTATTATTTTCTGTTCCAGTTCTGTGTAATGAACTACACTGTGGATGCATCTCTTCCACCAGTTTTTCCTTTTCGACTTGTTAGTGTTATACAGGAATCGGCAACCAGGTTAGTATGTTTTTATTAGTGATCAAGTGATTGCCAGATAACAGTATGACTCAAGTTTCTATACAATTAATCCACCGTAGGTGTTATTTATTTTTAACTAATCCTAAACAGCCCTGATGTAAAAACTTTTAACTGATTAGTTATTGAGAATTAGTGAGCAGGTGTGAGATACCAAGGCCTATTGGAATAATTACAAAAGCTTCAAATAATAAGAGAAGTGTGGGTGTTAAAGTTAAGTGTTGATTTTAGTTTATTTTTCTTAAATTTAATAATGATAACATTGGTGTTACAGATGTCATATGACCAGGCAAAGTGCCTTTAAACTTTGGCTTCAAAGTTTGGACTTCTCTTTTTTGTTTCCCCCACAGCACAATTTGAGTCGCCTTTATTTTCAGCTCAGTTGGCTAAACAGTGTATTAAAGGTGACAAACAGTATCGTCACACGTGGTTTCCAAACTCTCAATATAAGCCAATCAAATTACCAGGAAACTAACTCAACACGTTTTTCTAACTCAGCATGGATAATATAGGCATAAGTAAAGTCAGCATGCTCTCACTGAGAGTATGTCAATACCAGTCACACATACTGGCTTTTGAAAATTCGTGTCAAAACAAAGGATAAGAAAAGTTGACTACATGTTGTACTGACAGATGTAATTGGATTAATTATTCTCATGTATTAGGGGAGGGAGTTGATGACTAATAAAAAGTGTGGTGTATTTTTTCAGCATATGGATTTCTGTATTTTTGATTGAAGTTTTGTCATGGCAAATAATTGTTAATTGCACAAGGTATGTACCATAAAGTGGTATCGTTTTTATCTTGCCTTTACTGATTAGCTTACAGACATAATTGCATTTTAAGCATGCAATCAAACCAAATTTATACATTGTTGCTCCTAACAGTATTCTTCAGTATTGCTCAGAGTGTATCTAGAAAATTTGTAGGATCTAAAACATTGATTTACCACCACTCCAAGAAGTATGGAATTTAACTTAAATTACTCATTTTATTACTCAGTTATTACTCAGGCAAAGCTTATATAGCCTTCAATCTTATTTAGTGTCAGAGCCATAAACTAGAAAATTAGACCCCTTCTGCCACATCCTCTCTTTCATAAATTGGCAGTAATTCTCTCTGATGCTTAATACTGTATTATTTATAACCAATAGAAAGCCAGAGTTTTAATCTGTTAAGTGATGTATTATATTATGTTGTTTTCTATGCATAGAATTATTTATTTCGCTTACAGTTCAAACTTTATTCCACAGGAAACACATTGACTAGCTTAGCTGAATTTTTAATGACTCTTTTTCCCATAGTTAGAAAGTCCGAAAAATTGTGATAGTTATAGGACATTTTCTGCCTTTTACGTGTTATTATTTTGTGTTCTTAGGTACATTATTTAAATAAATAGAAATTATTTATTGCTGTATTTATTTATTTCTTGTTTTTCACGTGTATTATTTATTTGTTATTATAAAAGTCACTAAAATTTAAAAATTATAAACTTGTTAGGTTAGATAAGGTTAGATTATGTAAAATAATGAAAAATAATAATGATGAAAAATTTTCACAAAGTTTGCTTGTGAGTAGCCTGTGCCTATATAATTCAATAGGGTAATGTGAGCTACACGTTTGCTGAGTGACTTACAACTTGTATGGCAGGATTATTAATTAGGCACAGTTCAAAAGGCAATAAAACAATAAACTTAAGTAAATAGATGTATACTGTTACAAGCTTTAATCTACTTAGGATAAACAATTACGGTTTCCTGTTATAATCTAAAATCATTCCAGAAAGAAAAAAGGGTAATTTAGAATTATTTTATACTTTGTTTATGAGGTCAGTCAAGTCGACCAACCCTGTATAGAGCTATAGTATAGAAAATAACAGATAAAATATAACATCTTTCTGAAAAAAAAAAACATTTGATATTTATTTAGGAGGTTTAAGGGATTATACAAACAAAATATTAAAATTTTCAGATAACAGTATTTGTAATCTTAACATGGAAATCACTTTGAACTCATAGCAGTCAACACTCTGACACCATATAATTACGGACAAAGTTTTAGTAAAAATACTTAGTGAAAAACTTTGATTTTTTTGTCTACAAAATAATTTTAAATTATGAATTCAATTTTATGATAACTTGTGATGTTGAAGCCACTAAAAGGGAGAGATATATTTGAGATAATTTTCAAACCCTATAATACAGAGATTTACTATTGTTCTGACTTAGATAATCATTGAAGGTATGTACTGAAGTCAACATTAGACTACACATCTTGACAGATTTTTCACAGACCATCCACTCTATGTGGGCATAAGCTTCTAAGATCATATTTATTTAAACCAAAGCCACAAAAGTGTTTTGGAGATGCACTTGGGGACTTGACATTATGTGATCAAGTTAACTTGTTGTGGTTCCAGTTCTTTGGCCATCTTTCGATTTCTAGCATGTGAGTACTTATGCACTTCAAATTCTTGTCTATTGCCTTATTAATGACACCAAGACATTTGCCCAACTTTATTGCAAATGTTTTTTTAACTTGGAAGGCTCTCTTTTATAATCATTGCCTTCACTTTGTGGATGAGTACCCCTTGATTGAGATGGGGTGTAGTTTTTGAGCATGTTGCTGTCCTAAACATTCTGCTTTGTGAATTTTTCTGCTTCTGAAAAAAACATTGAAAGATTTTTTTTTTCGAAATGTGCTCTGTGGCTTTACATTGTTTAAAAGCCTCACTGTATGATGTTTCTTCTTTAGAAAGAGGTGTGTCATATTACTTCTGGCCACAAGTTATTCTTGTGCTATTGCACTGTCATATGACTAGGATTTGTTATGAAACAAATATATATATATATATAGTTGCTAAACATGTTACGTTATAGCTCCAAGGTTCTCATCTGTGGCAGTAAACCACTGTATTTGCATCTGCAAATGAGTCTAACAAAGTGCATTTAACCTAACAATTGCATTTCATAAATCCATCATGATTTTTAAGTTATCTCAATTCACTTGTGGATGGTTCATACATGATTACCATGAATTTGGGAGTAACGAAAGTCTATCAATTTCTAATTGAGCAAGAGTATATTCAGAAAGACAGAAGAATGAATAACCTACACCAAATATTGATAAATTTTTCATCTTATTGATGCCTAAGGCTAAAGCTCAATTAAGTTGTTTTATAAGCTTTAATTCTTACTTTTAGGAACAATTCATTACTTTTGTTAGTTATTTGTTATAGTAGTAAAACTGTTGTATTTATTATTATTACTTAAGAAAACATTTGTTAAACAAGTAAAGTTTATAAGACAGAGTAAGGTTTATTTATTTATGTCAAAGTCTTAATATTGTAATATAATTATATTAAAAATAAAAAGAAGGGCATAATATTTCATTACCTTCTTAGAATTTGTTTATTTTGTCAGTGACTTAGATGTCATTTTAAAGTTGAAGGCTGAAATGCCGGGGAACACAGAAGCCTTAAACATTAAGGTACATCTTCCCGTACCTTCCAGAACCACCAGGTAAGTGTGAATATAAAATTCTGTGATGTTTATGAAGTTTAGGCTCACCTTCCAAGAGCCACCTATTAATTATGAGTGCAAATATTTTTTTACCTGGTACTTGAATGTGATTTTTTGTGATAACAAACAATGGAGGTTTTTCACTATTTAAATAAGATCTTTCATTTAAACTTGTGAAAGAATAGTATATTTTTCTAATTTGTCAAGTTTTAAATTAATGTAAATATTTTTTGTTGGATGCAAAAAACTGTTAAAATCTTATAACTGAGTTTACTTCTCCAAGAGATAAAACAAAAAAGCTGTTGGCTGAAGAGTAGAGACTCCATGAAAGTGGTGTTAACAAAATAAACATGAGAATTATTCAAGCACTTATGTGCTTGAATTCTTCCTTTATATCCTGTGACAAAGATATTTACTTTCTTATACTTGTAAATGTAAAAATATCACATTACAAAAATAAAAATCAAATATACATGTTCACACATGCATAAGGATTATCAAGCAGCTCTAAATGGAAAAGGATAACATAATAATACAATAGAGAATTACTCAATAGCTTTGAAGCACTTTTTTCTTGGTTTGTTTTTGCCTTCATCCACCCCACCCTCCCTCTGGTTTAGCAGTAATCTTGAGGGCTTCTGAAGTATAATTCACAATTTGATCACTACAGTAGACACAGAGTAGATAACCTATCTTTCATTTTTTACTTAAACATATAAACAAATATGCTTTCTTGTTTTTAGTTAACTAGTTATAAAGTATGTACATAAAAAAACACATAATCTTGCTGTTAATTATAGTTTTAAAAGACTTGGGTATTTAACTCATGTGCAGTATTATCATGTATATGAACACCAGTGTATCTCTCTCTTTGTGAAATGCAACTTAAATATCTTTACAAGCCAATAGTTGATGTCACAATACATAAGTCTTAGTGTTTTTCACCTTTGATAAGTAGTTTTTTTTAATTATATAAGCAATTTTTTATAATTAAATAAATAAAACTTTGCTTGTAACAAAGGATAGGAAATTATGCTTCTATTTTATTTTTCCTTAACATAATAAACATTAAAAGTGCAATAAAAAATACATAAAGGTACCAATACAGTAAAGTAAGGCATACTGTTTTCCAGGATTCTATCAATATGAAATTAGATGGGTGGGTCCACCCTTATCCCCTCATAACCCTCCTCCTGTATCAGTGTCAAGTTGTGCTGATTGATCAAGAAATGTGGAAATGTATACAGAACAGATACACACACCTGTTGCCATTTATTTATATAGATATCTCAGAGAACCAGTTTTTTCACATGGTCAACTCTATACAGCTTTATGGAGAAGCAGATTTGAATATAACATTAACATATACATAAGTCCAAACTCTAATGAAGGACTACTTGCAGGTGATGACAAAATATACACAGAAATGTTGTTTTCATGAAGTACTAGAATATGATCCTCAAATAATCCAATGAATTGATAACATTATAAGATATATCAAACTATAATTTTTTTAAACTGGAGGAAATAATAAAATTAAACAAACTACCAAGTTGGCAAAAAAGCTGATTGTATTCAGGGATTAAATATGGGCTCAGCCATGTTGCTAAGATGTTTGTGAACTAACCCTGATGAGTGAGAAAATGGTTTCAAATTTGGATACTTTTATATTTATTATGGAAATTATTTAGTAATTTTAAAATTCCTATCAGTACAAAGACTTAGATGTGAACATTAAATCAGAAATAGAATTAGCAAATTAAAAGACTGTGGCTATTAAATTCTAAATGAATTTTTTTGTTGTATTTTTCACTAAATAATGGATGAAAGAAGGGCTAAGAATAGAAATACCACTTTTGAATTAATTAAGTGGTTATCATGCCAAATGCTTCCCCTGGTGGGTCAGTGATAAGTTTATGGACTTGCAGTGCTAAATCTGCTGTGGACGGAGTACATAAAACCAATTTTCTAGCTTTGTGTTAAAAGAAACAAACATCATGCCTTATGTTTTAATAAGTGCAGAAGCTACTATTACATTGATGTGTATTTGATCATAAAACAGTAGACGACATTATGTTTATTTGTAAGTTGAAAGCTGATTTTTTTGGCTAAAATTGAATAGTTTAACTGTAAGCAAAATAATCTGCAAAATTCCAACTTCTGTAAGTGGTTTTGAAGGAGTTTGTCATAATGAGTTTTTTCAGCTCTCATAATATAAATGTATAAGTGAGATACTTTCCCATATGTCATAATTAAGTTAATCTTTTTTTTTTTTTTTCATGGAAGCATTGTGGTTCTATTAGACATCTTCTCCAGCTATCACTTTTCATTGTTATAAGTTTAGTAACAAAGTAACTATGATGGTATCTGCGAGCAGTTGAAGTTTCGGTTAGACATTAGTGTTTTTACATAAAACAACAAAAGTTTTGATTAATACAGAATTAGTATTTCTTGTTTGTTTTGATTTAGTGTCATGCAGCAATTCAGTATGAAGGACAATACAGCCAACTTCTCAGAAACGGAACGGACAGTCACCTGGAATATCAAGAAACTTCCTGGGTCTGCTGAAATTGTGGCAAAGTTTAAGGTAAATCTTTTTAATCTGAAATCATTACGTAGTCATATTGGATACTATGTTTGTGTGTGTGTTTCAGTTTTTAGCTGTTGTGTTCATCATTTGTTAGTACGTGTTTTTTTATTTATTTGGTTGCTGATGATATAAAACCAATATTTGGTGTTTTAACTGATGTATGTAAATAATATTATGATAAGTGTCTTGTATAAGACATAACAAGATAAAGTAACAAAAAATGTTAACCCTAGAATTAATCAAAGAGACTATCAAGTGATCTCTGTGTATCTACTTTCCCCTTGGCAGAAGTTTATGGCACTTTTAGCTAAGAAAATAGCACTGACTGATTTTCGCTGTCACTATATATATGTGAAAATGTGCCAAATGCTCCAGAGCTTGTTCATTATCCAATTCTCAAGATCTACCTGACAGATGGGTGTGCCAATGGAGAAACCACTGTTATTACAAGGAACACATCCTATCCATGAAATGTTCTTGAAACAAGAAGATTCTGATGCTAGAATGATCTTTCATGCGGTACAAGCAAACAAAAATTTTGCAGTACATGATATGTAGGCAGAAGTAACAGTAAAGTCATCAGACACAGATGTTCTTGTGCTGGCAATTCACTACTTTCCCACGCTGGCAAGTTATGGATAGAAAAGGGGAAAGTTAGAGCAACAGCTGATCTCAGGAGGCGTGTTCCTGTGCTACATCTACTGCTTGCCATACATACCTTGAGAGGCTGTAATTCTGTATCTGCATTCTTTGGCATGAGAAAGAATAAGGTGTAGAAGGCAGTAGAAACTAGAAAAGGAGAACATTCTACCAGCAATGCATAGCCTAGGCACTGGTGACTCTGTTTCTGCTATAAAGGCATAAAGATAATTTGTTTTGACCCTCTATGATCCAAAGGAAAAGTACAAGAAAGCACACAATAATCTTGGTCAGCTGTATCATGAACTTGTTAGTAGGGACACATCACTTCATAAATTCCTCCCATCAGAACCCAGCTTCCTTCAGTATGTGAATGTCTGCACATGTACCAAATCTAGACACTGACTCCCCAGAAACCAATGGATAGTATAAAAAAAAGGAAACTAGCGGAAACTCAAGTTCTTTGAGGGCCAGACAGCAGCTGAGATGTTTGAAGAACTGCTGTGTTCATGCAGAGGCCACTCGCCATGTACAAATAACTGCAATTGTGTGAAAAAAGGGATGAACTGCACAGAAGAATGCCTGTGTAAATGTTCAGAGGAGTGTGGCAATGAACTCTCTCATCAGTCAAGTAATGCCAACTAGTTCAGTAAAACTAGTTTAAAGTATTACAAATGAGTCTTTTTTTTTATTCTTCATTGCCTGAAAGCTGTAAATGAATTGTGTACAAAGTAATAAATGCAACTATTTCTACAAACTTAAACAACTCATGTCCATAAAAAGTTTAAAGAACATCCTCCTGAAAGGGTTAATGAAATACAAACAAAATATAGATATGAATATAAAACCATTCAGTTGAGAGTAGGGCAGTGGTGTTCTGCTTTTGTAGATGATGTGATATCTTCCAATATGAAACACAAGTAAATAGGAGTGAGCCAGCAAAATTGCAGTTCACTTCTTTGATTGGGATCCCTCATCCTACCCTCACGTGGATGTCGGTTCCCAGTGTTGAACCAATCAACATAAGTCATCACACATGTATTACAGATGTATATATTCCTCTCTCATTTTTACTTTTGTTACTCCATCAGTGTTGTGGCTCATGGTGGAGGTACTTGCAGATTATTACGGTTCTTCCCCTGCTGTTATTCCTCGATGCTTGTTATTCTGAGGATGTTACTCTGCTTGGGGCAGTTCCAGTCAATTTCAATTTTGAGTGAGATGGTTTACATTATGCAGACATCTTTTTTATACCGGATGTCGGGTACCAAGATTGATCTATTAATTTAGTACATATTAACATGTGCCCCGTTCATGGGTCTGGGGGCTCTTGGTTCCCTTCAGCCTCATGAACTTGAGGGGAAGACTGTATGATCCTCTTTCCTACCCCCAAATGGATGTTGGTTCCTGGTGGCCTGGATTTTGGATTGTAGTCGACTTGCCTGTGGTATGATCCTCTTTCTTACCCCCACATGGATGTCGGTACCAGGTGGCAGGGTCTGGATTGTAGTTGACTTGCTATGTATGGCCAGTCACGCTTTAGCCACTCTACACCTTGGACACATCCTTTTCATTTTACCCACTTTTATATTTTCTGGGATAGAGTTACATATATAGTATATAGTTCTCTCCAACTTGGATGTGCTCTTCTGTTTTCTGCCCATATGTGTGACATCTTTTTACGATGGGTGAAGAGTATATCTGGTTCAGAATTGGTGCGGTCCCCCACATCAGATCTTAAAATCTGACTGTCTCCTCTTGGAGAGTGTCCTTTGGAAGCTTTTGAAGGATACTTCTTTCTTTCCCTTATCCCTCCACCTATTCAATGTGGAGTTCTAGCTATTTATGTGAGAGGAGGTAACGTACTGTATCAAAAGTTTTAATTTTCCTATACTGAAAACATATTTCTGATAGGTACTTACCTCTGATCCCACTTCCCACCCTTCCTTCCCACTGAAAACTGGTGCTTCCATTTTCTATCAAATCTCGAATTGATAGGTTGGTAGAATTGAATAGAGGGAATCGCATGCTTCATGAGAGTATGTTGCACTCTTACTGGTGGAGGGTTGACACATGATGATTTGCATGAGATATACATTGGAATCAGTCAATTCAAATGGAGGGGAGATAAAAGTCTTGTGACATACATAAAATATTTTTGTGCATATAGAAGGCAGCACTGAACGATAACATTTTCAGTACAGGAAAATTATAACTTTAAACACTTAGTTTCTTAAGACAGTGGAATTTGAAAATTTGAATAAAAATATTTTTTAAGCAATTTTTTAAAGTATTGCATAGTAATTATAATTTTAAGTTTAGTTAGGCTTAATGGATACTAGGAAGGTATGAAATTGAAAATAAGTATTATCAATGCAAGGCTAGCTAATTTTGTATTATTTATTCCTGAAAATATTTGTAAGCATAGGGTTACAACTCTTCTACTAAGGAATGCTTTTCCCTCTCTGTTGAATATGTGTAATAACAAACATGAGTATGAACTAACAGAATTAACATGTGTATTCTAACACATTCTTTACTTAAAATGTGCTACCAGTATCAATAGATACTGTTGGATGTACTTGTAAAGCTTGCTCCGGTTTTACTTTCTTACCGTTATTGTTTCAGTACTGCTAAAAGCTTTGCATATTTTGTCAAAGTCTTAAAATTGTAAAATCTGATATATTTAGACTGTTGAAACAGTTTTTTCAAATTTTTTACGAGTATATTTTGCTTACAAGTATTAAATATAAAGTTAAATTTTTGAATTCTTAAGCTGTTTTTTTTTTTTTCATGTAGCTTATAGATGCCAGACAGAATAAGGCTTATGCTCTTCAACTTGGACCTATAGCTGTGGAGTTTGAAGTTTCTAATTTTGTGTGTTCTGGACTAAGAATCAATTTTTTGAAAGTGGTAAATCTAGCAACAGCACAAACAATCCAAAGATGGGTTCGTTATGTTACTCTGGCCGATTCATACATGTTTTTGATATAAATCTTTCCTACTTATGTAAAAAACATTTGTGGAAATAAGTCAATCAGAGGAATATATTTATTGTGAAACCATACATGTAGAAGCATATCTTACAGAATGGTAATATTTACTTCTTGATGAAAAGAATCAAATGGTCTGTGATAGATGGTGAAGTAAGAGGTGCATCAAGCTGGTTAGCTAATCATTTGATTCATTTTGAGCAGATCTACGTGGGTTCAATATGTTGCTGTTTGTGTGGGCATATAAAAATCACTTCTAATGCCCAGAGTAGTGAATCAATTTTTATACATCTATCAAAAATACCAGGGCAAAAGCGAACAGATAAGATCAACTAGCAAGTAGAAGTTTCACATTTTTTTTTTTTTTGTAGTGAATCTTATGATAAAACTGTATGATACATTCAACAAACTTTGATGATCCATTATTTAAAACCTGAACTAATTATTAAACAGTCAGCTAATCATATGTAGAGAATAAATGTTCAGAAAGAAAGTTAGGAGTGATTAGGTATACATATGTGGTGTATTATATAGATTCTGACAATGTCTAGAGAAAATTAACCAATTTTTAAAAATTTTATGTGTCAATAATAAAAGAAAAGAGAAACAAGTATACCAGAATGAACTAGAAGCACCAGTTAAAGCCACAGGCACAAACCAATTTAAGTGATAGTTTATTTTAAGAACTTCTGGAATTCCTCCCATTCTCCATCATTTTGTGCTCAGTACCCTGAAAAGGATGCCTGAAACATCAAGGGAACTCTTCAAACATTCTCCATAATGCCTCCAATGAACAACATTTTCATTAGCCTTATACTCACCCTTTTAACTGAATGTGCACGGGGTTGGTTCATTGGAGAAGAAATATTGACTATAATTCCAAATTTACTAAGTATATCTTCATGAAATGTGGCAAGCTGGTAGTAAACAATACAAGTCTTTTGTAGACAAAAAGTCAGATGTGTTAATAAAGTACTTGTATTAAAGATATGTCTGTGAATTGATGAAGTCAGTCTGACTCAGATTCTGACAAGTTGGACTGTGATTTTCATAAGAATAAAAAAAATACTTTTTTCCAAGTTACAGTTTGCTAACCTTTCTAATCTAAATGCATATGTAATTTTTTTTTCAGTTCCCCTGAATCTGGTATTTCCTCTATTCTAACATGAAATTTTGAAAAATTGGCATCGTGTTCAGTGACAATCTTTACAAAGTCTTGGTCTGCTTTGACCCAAACTTGTACTCAATAGGGTTAACAACTGTGAAGTAGCCCATTAATTTTTGGAAGTATAATTTTCTATTTGAAACCTACATATATTTATTTTAACACTACTATAGATTGTTTCTATAGAATGTTCTGGTCAGCTAAAATGTTCAGTAATTAGGAGGTTTGTTTTTTATGGATCAGTTGTTTTTTTGGTTTATCCAGCTTATATAGAAAATGAGAATTTTGACATTGTATTTAGTACAATAAACTTTTTTGAGTTATGTTTTTATGATAATTTGATAGAGTATACTAGTTTTCTCTGAATTTCTCCTACTGTTTTCCTTTTTAAGATGACATTTTAGGCCTCAACTCAAGACTCAGTATAGACCCTGAAATATTGTTTAAAAATCAAGAAAAATGGCAGAAGTCCACAGGAAACTTAATCCACGTGTTGAACACACTGCCCAAAACCACATTAAAAAAAAGATTTGGCAGTTGTTGCATTTATCCAAAAGGATGAGAGGAAGTTCTAAATTCGGTATGAAGTAAGAAAGTCTTTAGATTTTAACTTTTTCAGAAAAAGAAAATGGAACTATAGGACTGATATTTTTATGGTGATTGTTAAGTTGGAGAAAGTAAAAGAGTTTTTACTGATATGGGAAAAAGTTTTCAAATTTCAGATGTTAGCTGTTTTAAAACATATTTTATGAAACATTGCTAGCTCTATTTATTGAGCTTTGAGGTTGTAAAATTCTTAGTCATAGGTTTTTGTAGGGAATGTATGTGATTATTATAATTACTGTTTATGTAGCAACTTTACTTCATTCTCAGGACTTAAATGTGACTAATATTACATTGAATATTTAACAGTTGGCTGCTTTTATATTTTAGATTATAGTGTCTGTCTGTTGCTTTTTGATGTAATATTCCAAACTTCATGAAAAAATAAAATATAGTCACCTGTTCACTAAATCAATGAGAAGCTGATTGATGTAGTATACACAAAACAAGAATGGTGATATGTTTCCATTTAAATGAAAAGAGATTTTTTGTGTAAAGACAAATAAAAAGAAATACTCTATTGATAAGATAAAGATAACAATAAAAAACAAAAGCAGGCAGTGATATGGAACATGAATAAAAGTGGTTATAAATGAAAGATGTTACATTTAACAGAAATAAAGCTGTGTTTTAGAATGAATCAGAACTCAGACTTAATCACTGTACATCAAACTGAAAAAAAAAACAATCTGCTGAAAAGTAACTAACTGAATTATGACAAAGAAGGATATTGTGATAAAACTTAACCAATGAGTTGTGGTTCTTTGAAAGTAGAAACAAACCTGTTTTGAAGGTGCAAAGGTTGCTTGCATAATTCACATTTTCCTTAGAGTAGGCCAATCACAAAATATACTTCAAGAATCTAGAAATGTCTGTGCTCATAAAGTAAACTTGTCCTCAGATTGATGTTGGTCATAATACTAACACTCCAGGTAACATCTCTGAAAGATTCATGCATTAAAAAATAACACTAGAACAAGTTATTAGGTGACCTAGTGGGATATGTGATTCCCGTCCTTCAAAGTAGCAGCGACCAAGAGGTAATTTGAGATAAATATGGGAGTAACAACTGTTGCTACAGTTTGAGTGGTCAAGATGATAGGCTATCTGTGCTCTGCTCACTACGGGTATCGAAACCCGGTTTCTAGCGTTTTAAGTCCGCAGACATACCGCTGTGCCACTGGTAATGTGATAGAAATAAGGGAGAAGTAACATGCTTCCAAAATTCAGTATTATATATTTATATATATATACAAATCTTGTACATTGCTGTCAGTTTTAAGTTTTAGCAAATGAACATATTCGGACATTATTGTGAATTGATAAACTTCCAAAAGTTCGTTATTCAGTATAGAAAAAAAAAAAAAACTCTCAGAAGTGCGAAGCATATTTTATAAACAGACGAGTGCGAAACTGAATGTAATTATGTAATACCTTTTACTAGAAGAGTTACTAAAACAGCCGGACGTAGAATAAGAAGATATTTGACAAAAAGCCGGACGGACTTAATGCAAGTGAAAGCAGTAGACCTTTACTCTCTTTCGGTGGTTTTTGACGCTGATTCTCAAATTGTCTAAACGGCCTTAAATAGAATATTTGCACGTCGATATATAAAATAAATTTACTTATTTTTTGTTTGCTTTGTAGTTGACGCAAAGACGCACAATGGGCTACCTGTGATGTGGCCCATCGTGGGTATCGAAACCTGGTTTTAGCGTTATAAGCCTTCAGTCTTGCTGCTGTGCCATTGAGGGGCTTTACTTGGTGAATGATAATCATTTAAAGTTATTAGTGGAGTAAAATTAAATAACCAGTCGATAAGCCCAATAACTTAAGCCATATGATCATTGAATAGGCAAGATAAATTAGTGTAAACACCAGCAATGACAAAAGATTAGTGAACGTGTGACATTTTTTATTTATATTAAACTTTTCACATTTTATTTGGTGAATTTCTTCATTTTTTTTATTGTGTTCAGACTGTATTACAAAACTTACTTTCCACCGTATTCCTTAAGTTTTGCTCTTTGAGGCGTGTATATTCCGTTAGATGCTTAAGTTTACTATATTCAGGAATATTTTTTTTCATATTTTTTAATATAGTAACTCTTTTGACTATAAATTGGCTTAGAATGAATCATGTTATAAAAAATCAATGGTGCCTAGGTTTTTAAAACTACAGTTTACGTAAGTAGTTTGAAAAGTTGCCAGAACTTATAAACCTTGCAGTCTTTTTATTTTTCTTTAAGAAGAGAGTTGATGAGCTATAAATTTGAGCAAAAATGCTTTATTCCCAGTTAATCCCTGTCATTTCTCCAGTTCTACCTCAGCTAGTCCAAATAATATCTTCACAGATCGCTCACTAGTGCACATTTGGGCCGAAGAAAACAAATGGTCTTTATGTTACGTGACTATATGCCTTCACTGAAACGATTTTCATTGTTTTGGGGAAACCTACTGTGCCTTTTTTTTACAGAAATTCTGCCATTAAATAAAGCGTTTCAGATCTCTTGCTTCTGAATCTAACGCAACCAATCTTTTGTGCAAACTAAAAAAAAACAGTTCTTGAAAAGTTCGTGGTTTTTAAATCTGACTGTTTTTCCTATCTCTTTTATTTATTTATTTTCGGATTTACTGAGCATAAAGTCCCATCTTTCTTTTTCTTCCTTTATTGAACTAATTTGTAGAAACGACAACGAAAGTCTTCAAATCTACATAACTACGGAAGGTTTGATTTGCTATTTATGAGGGGCCAAATGTAACTTTGTAATTTAAGCTAAATTGTATGAGTAATTTATGTATTGCCGAGTTAGTTCATAATCCCAAGTGGGACAACGGTAGGTCTACGGATTTACAACGCTACAATCAGGGGTTCGATTCTCCTCGGTGGACAAGGCAGATAGCTCGATGTGGCTTTGCTTTCAAACACACACTTAGTTTATAAATTCTACTATTTGTAAATTGACAAGTTGGCTGAGAAATATGTTTGTTATACAGGCATGCCACTTTATAATCTATTCTCATACGGTCCCCCGGTAGGCAGCGGTAAGTTTACGGACTTGCAACCTAAAATCCGGGGTTCGATTCCTCGCAAACAAATAATCTTCTTACATTTGGCGCCTCCCAGCTACTTATTCGAATAACTATGTAGAATAGGTTAATTTAGAATATAACCGTGTCGAAAAATCTTTTGACTGAATGTTAAGTGCCATCATATTTGGGAAAAACTGGCAAACAAGGATCATGTTTGTTGTCACATAGGGTAGAGCTAATTAACTTCAAGGTTATCTGAATTGATTGGTTATCTATTAAATGTTCAAAAATCTTTTGACTGAATGTTAAGTGCCATCATATTTGGGAAAACTGGCAAACAAGGATCATGTTTGTTGTCACATAGGGTAGAGCTAATTAACTTCAAGGTTATCTGAATTGATTGGTTATTTATTAAATGTTCAAAAATCTCAGATTTTTCGTTAATACAAATTCGGATATATTGATTATAAAAAATTGGTATTTATTGTGCACATTGAACCGTTTAAATCAGTAGAACAGTTTTAACATCTTTTTAAAGAACATATTACGTTATTATCTTTCTTTATCCTCTCCTGCAATTTTTAGGTACATTAACTAAGTATAGATATGCAATACTTTAAGTGAAATCATGCGGTATACACTTGCCGTGTAGACGAATTTTCATAAAATATTCGGGGAAAAAACCGTTCACTCCTATCGATCGTTTGGTATACCAAACGATCGATAGGAGTGAATTCCTTATATAGTACGAGGGATCAACTCCTTATATAGTACGAGGGATCAACTCCTTATATAGTACGAGGGATCAACTCCTTATATAGTAAGAGGGATCAACTCCTTATATAGTAAGAGGGATCAACTCCTTATATAGTAAAAGGGATTAACTCCTTATATAGTAAGAGGGATCAACTCCTTATATAGTAAGAGGGATCAACTCCTTATATAGTACGAGGGATCAACTCCTTATATAGTAAGAGGGATCAACTCCTTATATAGTAAGAGGGATCAACTCTTTAAGACTAGATACAAGTACTTAAGATCATGTTTGCCTTAGATAACTATAAACTCGAATAAATCATGCACAGTTTATTTGGATTGAAAATTCGTAACAAGTAATGATTTTTATCAAAATGTTTGTTCAATGGGCTGGGGATGCTTCAACCCCCCCCCCTCAAAACACACTTCATATCTAACTACTCCCATTTATAACTATGACAGTGTGAGTTCAGTAGTTCAAATGTTTTTAATGAATGCTCTTTTCTTGGAAAACTGTAGGTTAACACAGATTACCCTGCAGTAGAAGAGTTAGTATAAATTCTGTTGAAGAAAGAGGCGGTTTTTCTAGGAATTGAAATTAGAAGGGGTGTTCGAATGTTCATGGGGGACGAAGATGTACTGAAAAATGTTTCACGACCATTTTATCAGGAACATGGTTTCCGTAATTAACTGCCAATACTACCTCAATTTGCTGTTAGAAAACTATTTTATACAACTAAATTTCCAACTAAAAGATACGGGATTTTATTTTTCAACTAGAAAATATTTAATACAACTAGATCTAGCTGTAAGACTACTAAATTGGAAGCACTACATGTGACTAGTTGAGCACTGAAGGTGGGAAGTGATGGGAAAGTTCAGGGGTGTAGGGAAATTCCTAGAAGTCTTTGTTTTTTCTTTTAACAGTTCGTTCAGAAGGAGGTGGGTTATGTGTTTTTATAGAGATTGTTCAAATTGTTTAGCAGGGAAAAGTTGTACATAACCGTTCAAAAGGAAGATAATGCAAACTTTGTAAAGTGTGCCGAGCAGGAGGTGACTGAAGAGAAGGCAGATGAATTAGTGCAAATCATTCAGTAGGAAGTTGTCGATTGTTAAAAATTGGCGGTGGTTTTGCAACTGTCTAGCTTAATATTTAAACCACTGATCTCCGCTTTCAATTGAATTTGAAAAGTTTATTATTCTTATGATAACTTCCGGTTACCCTGATTTTATACCACTCTTGACCGCGGTTGCGTATAACCCCCTAGACACCCGACCTCTTAGTGACCTGAAATATTTTTAATACTGACAATATAATGGAAGATTAAAGTGCATTGGGTTAGAGGAAAACAATTTTGTTTGTTTTTGAATTTCGCGCAAACCTACACGTCCTTAATTTAGCAGTGTAAGACTAGTCATCACCACCCACCGCCAACTCTTGGGTTACTCTTTTACCAACGAATAGTGGGATTGACCGTCACATTATAACGCCCCCACGGCTGAAAGGGCGAGCATGTTTGGTGTGAAGGGGATTCGAACCCGCGACCCTCAGATTGCGAGTCGAGCGCACTAACCACCTGGCCATGCCGGGCCTGCTAAAATAATACTTGTGGGTGTGTATTGATAGAAAACTGATAATTTTTGCAGAACATACGAACTTTAAAACAATTTAAACATTGCATGTAAGGTACATCGAGAGATTTATTTATGTTTTTCAATCATTTATAATAAATGAAACAATTGGTTGAGAATATATGTGTGTATAGTTCTTATCACTGGTAATTTGGGTCTTAAACCTCGAAGTTTATGAACTTGAAATTATGACAAGTTTTTGATCATGACCTACAGAAAGCTGCTAGTTGACAAGCTCCTCATAGAGCTGATCTTTCCTCATTTACCAAAATTTGTGAACATTTTCAAAAAGGTTACTCTTCCAAATATGATGGTTTACACGCATTTATATAAATACATTTCAATGATCACGATTCAGCGAGATTTTAATTTTAATTAACAATTTTTGAAAAAAAAAGGAAGACAAAACTTATAGTCATTGTGAAATTTTATTAACATGCCATGAGATAGCGTCACCATGCAGCATTTTGTGAACATCTATATCGAATACAATGTCAGACATATAGTTTTCCACGTATAAAAATACTGTAAAGAACAATGCTGCACATCCTGCATTTTTTCACCACAGGCAGAAGAAATTATGGTTTTAAACGCTTCAATTGTAATGCAAGAGTCAGGTAAAAAATTTGGTATGGCAAAGTGAAGAATAAGATTACAAGAACATACAACAACAATTTGTTATGCAACATTTCGACCAGGTAAAAAATTTGGTATGGCAAAGTGAAGAATAAGATTACAAGAACATACAACAACAATTTGTTATGCAACATTTCGACGTTACCGAGCGAAATAGCTGTTTGCGCAAAATACAAAAATTACCTCATATCACCGTCTCATTTTTCTACAATATACATAATTTAGCTAAAAGATAACGCCCAACAACTTTTCTTGGTTTTGCGAAAAGCCTATTAAAGCAAAACTAATCTTTTCTCATCTTATATACAAGTTTCGCATTAAATATTTAACGTTCTGGCAAGGTAAATGCAATAACTAGTAAGCATAAGCCAAATCAAAAATCTAGATTGTATTCGTTTAAGGGAATGTTTTTTGTTATTGTTTTCAACCTACTCGTAATATATCGCTACGTTTAGAAACGTGTCAATAAAAAGATCGAGTTCTTATAGTGTCCTGTAATAGTGTCCTTAATTAATATTCTCCCATCTATAAAAACTTAAATAAATCTACTACTCACGTAATACAAGACGTGAACATTTGAATAACTTAATTATTTACTGTATTAATAATATTACAATCAGCACTTCTAATTCTAAAAATTTGGAGTTAACTTTAACGTAGTGCTGTTTTCATTCTTTTAAAAGTTTTTAAATGTACACGAAATAAGACTAAAAGTACCAGATTTTAAAAATATCAGACCAGCCAATCAGTCTAATGAGAGTAAACACAAAACAAGTTCGTACCTTTAAAACATAAATCAAGTCTAACACTAATACAAAAATTATTATTCGAAGTATACTATTCATGAACTATAATCGCAATTGCGTTCTTTTCATAGCATATAAGCCAAATCGTCTTAAGCTTTATCTCAATAAAAATTTCGATGAGATATAACGTTTTTTTTCTTCACTTTAACATTTTATCTTTGTTATAGTAACTTCATTTTAGCGTCTAACTCTGCTTGTTATGTAGATTTCCCACTGGCAGAATCAAACTTGAATTTAATGGAGGTCCAGTTCCTCGAAGACGATTTAGTTATTCTAGCTTTTGGTTAGTTGAAATTATCATATCTTCTGCATGTAATGTTAATTAGTTTTGCAATTTTTTTATTCTTTACGCTCCACATCTACAACTAATATCTTGTATCATCTAAGCTATCACATAATTATTACAGTGGAGAATCAGTGTATTTAACTACCAAAAACTCTCATATTGACCTTTACACATATGTATATCTGAAAGTTAACACTACTTTATGTGAAAAAAAACAAAACAATATTTTTGAAAAAATTAGTCCAATATAGTAAGGTCAAGCTTTACCTAAGCACAAGCATACACATTCACTCCTCGTGCCACTAGCTGTTGCAATGTGTTATGCAAAGTTTATTAAGGTGATCATTTCATATTTATCAAGAATTTTCAAAAAATATTCGAACATACACGTTTTTAGCTCTGTGTGTGTAGTTTTAATAGTAGAAGGTTGGTCAAAGAAAGTGACTAAATTCCTTTCACTCTAGTTAACTACTGTTCTAGATAATTTTTCTATGGTATCACGTGTGTTTTTCATAGAAAATATTGCTACATAGTAGAACATAATATGTAAAGGTGGACAGTGATTTTGATGGGTAAGTTAATACCTTGAAGACATACCCTCCTTATTTTGTTATTGGAATGGTCGTCAGTAACGCATACGCACTGAGAGGGATGGCATCACAATCTTTTATGTAATACTATGCTCCCTTAGTCTGGAAGAAAAGTTACTAAAAGTAAAATCAAATCAACAAGCTACAAGTCTCAAGCTAATAAAGCGCATTCTATTCCACCTGTGCACTCTTCACTTTGGTTTTCGAAAAAGATTAATTTTAATTTTGTTTTTATTGTGTGTCTGGTCTCTTTCTTTAAACTCAGTCAGGGAATTCCGATTTAATTCTGTGATGCATTTCCTGACATTCTTCAAGCTACTGCGGCACTGTTATTAACTTTTAGGACATCAGTGCCTCCGAGAATACCACAACTCCTCCAATTAACTAAGTCACAAATATTCTCACAAAACTAAATTTATCTACAAGTTTTAGTTATTATTTGATAAATAATCAAAAATTGTGTCAGTTTATTAACAAAGAAGCAATATAGCTCAGAACCAAATCTACTTCATCAAGATTTTGTATTTAGCAAAATGTTATTATAGGTCGGATGAAACATTACGTTTGTGAATCAAGTTTTGATAGGTGATTAATTAGCCATTCCTCTTGGTCGCCGATGTAGCTTTTCTCTATATATTTTCAAAGTTCGTTTACTCTATAGCTATGTTAATCTTCTGGGGTCCAAGTTTTAAATCATAACTTCAAGTTTAAACATATAGAAAAATAACTTGTAATGGAACAGAGTCATAGAAACATCAAACTATAAAGATTCTCGCATGAACTGACACCTGTTACTAGACTCTATTTACCCATTGGACATCTCAATACATTTTACAACATAAAATGGACAGTTTTTTTCAACATACTAAAGAGAAACGGCATTGACGAGTTTCTAAAGCTAAATGTCGTTATTATTGTATTTTCTGTTGATATATGAAGTGGTAAAAAATCTTATTTGACTCATACTAAAGTTTCGTTCAATGCAGAAGCACTTGGATGGTGTTAAAATAATTAACCTTCACTGATAATGTTAAGAGTATTACAACACATACCTTTTCAGTTCTTCAGTACATAATAGCATGCCAGCATTTAAACCAGCTATCGTTAGAGGGCGCCGCTTAAAAATAAAGCTAAACAGAATCAAAAACTAAGAAAACACAAATTTGTTCTAGTCAGGCCAATAAAGTTTTAAAAAATCAGAGCCATTTTCAATTAAAATCTTAGATGAAAGTTTTATATACTGTTTGGGAAAATCTTTTGGTCATAAGAAGAAAATATAAATATATACTCGTCTGATAACCTAAGAAGCTTTTCAGCAAAAACTAGTTAATAAAGATCAACAAGCACCTCTTAATAAAAATAAACACCGATACAAAAGAAGTGACTTTGTAAAAAAAAAAAGACTTAGGACTAATATTACATAACAGTGGACGGTGAAACAATGATGTTACAGAGATGAGTTGTTGATAACAAGTGCTTACGATGGAAATTGTTAAATACCATAGTAATTACGTAATGTAAGCAAAATCCAGAAAAATATGAAAGTATTTAACACTGATGTATTTTGCGATTATACAAAGAAGAATAAACTGCAGTGGTCCAGTCTTGGCACAGTTTAGTTCTTTCATTGTTAGCCTGAGCTCCAGTAAAGCAGCAGGAAATATATGGCACACCTGTCCAGTAGGTGGCGGTACCAGTTAGCGCTGTAGCGTTATAAATGACATTTAGTTCATCAAAGAACGGTATCGAGTAGATTAAGTGATTTGATGATGTTTTCATCCTAAAAATAATAAAACAAACGAATTAAAACTCCGTATTTTACGTGGAAACAAATAGAAACTGATGTCAGATAAAATATAAGATAAGATATAGAACATTCTTAGACAAAAATGTTATGTTATCAGAATAATAAATACCTACTTTTATAAAATTTGGTAAACGTGTGCAGTTAATTCAGAACATAGTAATGTCAATAAAAAATGAATAGTTCTTTTGGTTGGGTTGAAAGTAAGCAAAATTATACAAATGCTCTGTGTCAGTAACTCCAGTTTCAATATAGCGTCGAGGGTGAAGGTGGGGAGAGAATCTATCCATAAAATATACGGCAGTTAATCAAGTCTTATAGACAATATTCTTGCTATCATCACAAGCTGAAGAGAACACCGTGTTGCTCTTTTACACACATATATACACACACACACGTCTATTTCTGGTACAAATTCATTTGATAAACAACATAAAAAATTATGATTTTTGCAAGATTCCAATCTTTAATATTTTCACTAGAAGTTTAGTTTTAGAGACTTATTCCACTCGCCTAACCTAACCTGTATCTTAAGCGTCACAAAAGTCCGTGTGATAGATGCAACGACTTTCCATTATATTCAAAAGAGCATTGGAAATATAATCACGTGCTCAGTGAACCTGGCATAGCAATACATCACAGTTAAGATACTTGTGAGGGGAAGCGATGAGAAAAAATAATCTATAAAAGAGGTTTCCCTGATTAATAGATTAAGGCTAGACTTTAACGAAACGAGTTCAGCAATTAACCTGTTGTTGAGAGTATAATGAAAAGCCGACTGTATCTTAAGTATATTTAATCTGCTGTTAAGAATAATAAAAAAAAGATTAAATTAAGCATAAATAAGGCCAATATTTGTAAACCTTAATTTTGTTTTATTTCTATATTATTATTCAAATATTTAAGTTTAAAGGACAAGTAATAATTAAAATCTATGTAACGTAATTCCAGCGGAGCTCCATACTTCTATGACATAACGCACATGACTTAACTAAGTTAATGAAAAACAAGAAATATTTTTCAATAATTCATGAATCCGAAAAGCGAGGATAAAACCATAATTTTGTAAAATATTCTCAAAATCACATTTAGCCGTCTTACTAGACTGGTGTACTTTCAACCTTAATTTATCAAGAAAACAAAACAATTTAAAATAATTCATTCTAGAGATATAGCTGACAAAATCATAAGTGGAGTAATTTTCTTCAGTAAGTATGCATTAAAGCACCATTAATTATGCTTATAAAAAAGATACGGAAATTATTCAGTAAGGGGTAAGTAATACACTGTGCAGATAAAAGTATTTCTAATACAACCAAATCATGAACTACATTCAAAATACTAGGTAATATATTTTTAATGCACCTTTAAGCATGTTTCCACGAATTCATCAAACGTAACTACGCCATCTTTATTCAGGTCCAATCTCTGTAAAACAGAAAAATAATAAAATTGTATGTATGAATTGTCATATTTTTCTAAAAATTTTAAATAGAAGCTTTACATTTTTATTTATGAGTTGAATATTGGCTTGTAGTAAACTGTATGTAAAACTTATTATTATTATTTTACCTGCGACGTATATCTGAATTTTCATACAAAGTGGGTAGCGCCCTCACATAGTTTTAATACACGACCAGCAACTTTTAGTACATCAACATGCTGACGTTACCAGTAGCATCTGTTACCCCTTCACAGCGTCCCAGTGAAATGAAAAATTTAAAATGGATTTTAAGAAATCGCTAACTTGCTAATTCAGATAGAATATCTGAAAAACGACTTTCTGATTCCTAGACAAACTTGTTTTAATAATATGTCTTCCTTTACATTTTGTTTGGGATAACTGCCATGGCCTGTACTCTTATCATAATTACGGTATTGTAACAATATAGCTAAGCCTGAAAAAAAAAAAAGTTTTATAACATGCAATTGAAAAACTTGTTTATAAAGTAAAACTAACAGATAAAAGTAGCGTTTTCTAATATAAACCTTTTCCCATAATTGTTTACTCACGTTCCGATTCTGAAAATCACATCACACAATTCGTAATTTTGAGAAACTAAGTTACCATCTTGTCTCACCTTGCAAATCACTATATAACCATGACTCGAGTATCATAACTATGACTTAGAATTCGACTAAACCCATCCATAGAAATAAAACAGCTGATAAGAACACAAAAAGAGTTCAGTGTATTAGTAAAATAAATTATATAAATACAGGATAGAAAATAAAGTAATTTTTGAATCAACTGTACTTAACTCTTCTTCGTTCAGTTTTGAAACGAGGCAACTCCAAAGTTTTATACTTGTGTCATTTTTCTCCTGAGAATGTATCCCTCAGCACAATATAAAATAACTTACATTTAAAGATGTAAAACTATCCAAGGATCTGATGTATAGGCCAGACAACGAATTAAATAAAGTTTTAAATGAAATTGCAATTAACTTAAGTGCAAAAAAAAAAAAAAGGCTTTCGGATACTCTTGACGAGACTTTTATCAAAATGTCTCAATATTTTAACTGCCATTACTCCATTTTATTTACAAACTATTGATACTGTTACGACAGCGGAAGTCACGCGGCTCTGGAGTTTCTAAAAGGATCATGACTTTTCCTGGTAACTCTAGTCTGTTCCAAGCGCCCTTTTTTTAGTATATAAGCCAGGACAAAAAAAAAAAAAAAAACACAAGCGGAGATATAATTTGCAGATAGATAGATATAGAGACAGATAATTGAGTCAAGCGAGCGGTAGTATAAAGTGTGTGTTTTGTTATCGTGATTGCAAACGCATTGACTGTGGAAACTCTGTGTACTGCAAAGTTGTATCGAGAAAGAATAAAGTAGTTTTAATTAAGAAAGGAATTGTATCGCTGAAGTTTCTCGGAAAGAATTTCTACGGTAAATTAATGAACAAGCAGATACGCAACAATATTGCTAGTATCATAGAAAAGTAGCTCATGTAGAATACATAATTAGACGAAAGCCTTAAACTTCAGACTTAGTATTAAAAACAACAAAAAAGACACAACAAAATTTAATATCAGAGGAGGAAAAAGAAATTAAGAACCTTGAACAGAACAACACAAATATCATGTTGTCTACTGAAGGAGAAAACTGTATTGTTATCGTGAATACACAGGTTAGAAAAAGGAACTTAAACCGTGAACAACTAAAGTTTTGTTTGTTTGTTTTGAATTTCTCGCAAAGCTACACGAGGGCTATCTGCGCTAGCCGTCCCTAATTTAGCAGTGTAAGACTAGAGGGAAGGCAGCTAGTCACCACCCACCGCCAACCCACCGATATATTGAAAAATAAAAATAATTCTTAGAATAACCCTATATGGTTACTGCAGTAGCTATTGTAAATAGTTGAGTTTGTGCAAACCTCACATTACAACAAAATTCTACAAGTCAAAGATTGTAAGTATAATTTTAACATTTTAACTTGTTTCCCCAAATAATCAAATTATACAGCAATAAAACATCCAGCTACAATGCGGAGAATAAAGATATTACTTGTGTTTAAGTTTCCCGTTCTTTTCTGATTCACATCATTTAACTTCCGGTTTATATTAGGGTTAGAATAAGCGCTTAAGCCCGAATTAGTGAAGTATTTCATTATTAAAATATTTTGAAGGTGTTTTTTACTTCTTGATGTAGAATATAATTTTCCACAGAAGCAAAATTCAAGATTATTAATGAATCTAATCTATTAAATGTACTAAATTCATACAGCAGAAATCTTGACCACATCTCTACTGTAAAATTGAACAAGAAATGACACAACTGCTTTGCCATTTCTGCCAAGTTTCGCGACTCGACTGCTGCACCTCCTCACTTCCGATCCACTTTCCTTGTCTTACAACAATTTTCTTGGAGAATGAATGCTCCTGAAAATCTTCGCCGAGACTTAGTTCATTTTTGGGAAACTTGTGCGTATTTTCCGCGTTTTCAAGAGAAAAAGACGGAGGAGCGCTCTCTCTCCTAAAAATAATCTGAATAACTTTTAAGGTATGACATTTAAAGTTCATTACAAGAGTTTCAAAAAGAAAGTCCATTATGTACTGAGGGTTCACTTTAACTTGTAGACTTTCACATGATCTGTTAGGCTTTCACAAAAGGGCTGAGCTATGTGTGCAATTTACTGCTCAAAAAAGTTAGTCAAATTGCTCATCTATTTAACTGTCTATAGGATAGCATTAGCCCGGGAGGGCCAACGACATTTCAGAGAAGACAAGCCCCTCTCTCCCCCTAGTGACGCTGACTCGGTTATATCCTTTTTTTCGTTGTTTTTAACTGCAATTGGGCTGTATACAATAAGATTCACTTAAAAACAAGTCATATTGCAGTTAGGCCGTGGTAGATATACACGACTGTTTCAATTTAAGCATAGTGCGAGTGTTAAATTTACTTAATTTTAGAAGCGATAGTTTATCGCAGGTTTGTTTACGTAAATGTTTACGAATCACATGTTGTGTACTTCAATTGTTGTATTATCAAGTCATGTTATTAGAACCTTCTGTGTTTTTCTAGTGGTTTTAATTGAATATTATTGCATCATAATATCTAGTAGTGTGTAGAACATTCTATGCCTCTGTCGGGGTATAAATATACATTGAAATTTTACTTCGAAAGATAAATCTAGACTACGTGATTGTGAGTTTAACTATAAAAAACATGTAGTGGCGATTTTTAAAGTGACATTATTAAATACTGTGTTTTGATAACAGAATAGAGAGAAATATTTTTTCTTGTCAGTTGTGTTCTAAAGTAACTGAACCAGTCTGTGTGGACTTTGCCGAAAAAGTGAGTTATTTAAAGCTCTAGATACAAATGTGATAAAAAACAGTGTAATCAATATTTGTACATATGTTTGACTTGTTTTAATATGGTATTTTAAAACAAGTGGATTATGTGCTGTTTGTTTATTGTTGAAATTTATCGCCAACAAGTTATGACGCCTACTGTAAAGAATCCGCTCCATACATAAAACTTGACATACCGTTTTGATTTTTTGATTATGTATTTTAAGATCAACTCAACAACACACAAACTAGATGTCGGAAGAAACGAGTCTTTAATAACCAATAAAAATCATTAAAACTAATAATTTTATGGTTATTCATCACTCTAGGTAAACGTTTTGTACTGTGAAAACCAGAAGCAAGAAGCATCACTTATCTCTGAATACCATAGACATAGATCAAACTGATAAGCCCATCCGTACAGAATGGATATAAATGATGTTGCCTAGTACCAAGGTAACTTTCAGCATCATTTAAACGAACCACTCTAACTATAAGGAGCACATGTTCGAAACGATACTACACTTGACTGATTACCCATGTTGTTAGTAAATTCCAGGTAATAGAAAGAAAGCCCAAAAGGAATTGGTTTTTACTATATATATATATATGCAGAGTAATTTTTTCTATTCAAAATGATACCTATACCGATCTTGAAGTTTCAATAAATGGTAAATATGGGTGACTGATGAACGACTCTCATGCATGTCTCGCCGTTTTCCTACGGTGATTAAGCCTAACAGTGCATAAACAAAAATTACACTGGATATCTATTTTTAACGCTAACTATTCTGCTTTTCCTGTCAGTAAAACAACCTGGTGTATATCAATGAAAAACAGCAATAAAACCATACAAAAACTAAGAATCTATATAAACCAATTTTTTTATTATCATGACACTATTTGTAAAGAACTAGAAGACGTAATTAGTATACAAGGACAATGCCTTAAATACAATAAACATAACCAAAATAATTACAACTCAGTTACTAGAAATGTTGGAATAATTACATGTTATATAATGTATTAATGTCCAAGTTTATTGAAGTTTATGAAGCATTTTATGTCGATTCCACCACCTATCTAATGACACTGTAATATGTCTACTAAAATTACAAATTTTAAACGCTTATGATGCAACGAGTTTTCCCTCTTATGACTGCAATTACTGCTCAGCTATTTGTTTATTTATTCACCCATCACACGATGAGAAGGTCTGAAAATCATAATCACGTGTACTGTAGTGTCAGTTGCAAGTGCAAAGTTGGAAGGTGTGATTTTTGCGTGGATGCACCTTTAAAGTTGTTTTGGTGCTCTAGTTTTTGAGGAAATGGTTGCTGTGATAGTTATTCCTTCTGTTGAACTGGACATCTCAATCCTATAGTTAATATTATTTCAGATCATTTGCTTGGCAGTTTTCTAAGTTTGTTTTACGCAGGTTAAAGTTTTAAACAGTAAGTTTGTTCTTGTTAGTCATTACAGTAAGGCACAAATTTTCGTGGCTTAAATAAAAATGGAATTACAACTTGGGGTTTCTATTTGAAAAACTTTATTTACCTCGACACATGTTTGAAAGTAAGTAAAAAAAAACTATCTTTAACATTTCTTAATCATAAAACCGTTTGTCTTTTAACAAGAGAAGATCTGATAGACTGATAACTCATATAAATCTTAGCACGAGTTTACGGTTTAATATGTTGATTAGAAAGATGCAATAAAACTCCCAAAATGTTCTTTAGGCGTTTATGAAGTCTTCCCAAAGCAAAGCTACCTTTGCTCAAGGCCATTACATTTGGACCTTGATTCACACTTTAACAACAGTTTTGAACATGCTCATGACATCTAGGACACTGCACACTTAGTATAAACATTTAATGGCTTTCGTTGGTTAAGGAAGTGGTTACAATGAGAAGAGCAAAGCATTATATTCTTAATATTTCTTCTGCTTCGCAGTTTTCTTGTCTGATTTGGATTCTAACGTTTTTTGGACGACCTCTTATTCTAAGCGTTTTAATTTCAACAGGAACCACACCGTGAATACATTCGTAACATTTGCATTTTATGAGAACGTCACACCTTCCAACCTTGAACTTGTAACTGAAAGTAAGGTAAAAATGACCTTCAGACATTCTTCCAGTGATATTGACTAGTTTAGCACGTCTTCTATAAGTAAATTACTTTACAAAAACAATACTTTCATCAAAATCTTGACGCCAAAGGAAAGAAAAACTCGTTTTGAAATGAAGATTTCTCTACAAGAAATGGGTCGATGAGCATAAAAACTTCGTACTATTCAAAGACTGCAATACTATCGTTGAAAGGAAGTTTTAATACAGTTTTATTATTTTTCAAAATTTGTAGTGCATACTGGAGGGACTTACACATTTTGATAAAAAGTTATGAGAAAAACGACCTTTACACTCCAGATATATATAAAACACTTTTTTTTTTTAGTTTAACCAACGTTTCGCCTTTGCGGCTTCCTCAGGGTTTACATACACAACTGTTTGATATTAGAATAGTCGTTAAATGATAAAACTGCTTGTAATGTTCTATTTGTCGAATCTGCCGGATATTGTTATGACTCTGGATTTTAGGATTAAATAACTACCTGAAATACTCTTTCTGCGTGTTCGCGTGCCGAAGTCTCGTCAACAGAGGGCTCTGCAAACTGGCCCATTAAGTTGTAGATGGAAATTATGATATCTGCCATCTCCTCCCGACTGATGCACCCATCACCATTAATATCGTATAGATGGAAAGTCCACTGAAGCTTTTCCATTTTT